GTCTGGCTTTGCTGGGGGTGGCTTGACGTGGAGGAGCAGAATATCAGGGTGAGGCAGCGATGATTTCCTGCACAATAGAATTCTGGTGGTAGGAGGAGAGCTGCTGAGGGCAAAACCTTGTCAGCTCTTGTTCTCACCAGGTTGTCTACAAGGGGAAACCTGGAGCCTGCTGCTTGGAAGCTGTGACCATTCTTTAGCCAGATGGAAGGAAAAGAACACTGACATGGATGGAGCACCTGCTGTGTACTGGAAGTCTGGTTTCTTTCTTTTTTTTTTTTTTTGCATATATATGTGATTGAACTCAGGGACTCAAGGGTGCTATAGCCCTGAGTAATGTTCCCAGCCAGCCATTTGTGTATCTTGAGTCAGAACTTTACTAAGTTGTCCAAACTGGCATAGAACTTGCAATCCTCCTGCCTCAGCCTCCTGAGTAGCTGGGATCACAGATGATGTCCCAGGCCTGGCTTGCTGTCCGTATTTTAAGATGATGCAGCTGAGACTCAGAGAAGTGAGATATCTTGACCTTGGTTTACACAGTGAGTCACAGAATGAGAATTGGGAGCCAAGTCTTTTGGTGCCAAGATGAGACTCTCTTTGTGACGGTAGCAGAAAGGTTAACTCTATTAGATCTGTGAGGAGGACTCTAAAATCTGTGGGTAAATGTGAATAGTAATGATGGTAGTAGGAAGTTAAACCCAAGGGCCAGATGATGTCTCTCCCACCCAGTCCTGTGTCTCCGGTGCCTGCCTGCTGCCCGACATGTAGTTGGGACACAGTAACTACTTTTTGAATGTTCAATGAATGACAATAAGCACATACACTCAGGTAAATGAACTAAAAGGTGCAGGACTTCTACCACCACCCCTGAAAATCCTATCAATTTTCAAGTATCTCGGGGTGGGGCGGGGTGAGGTGTCACAACTCATCTGCCAATGCCTGCAGTCTCTCCTCCCCGGGAGAGATGAGCAGCTGGACGCGGCTTCGCAGTTGCGCAGTGTGGATGGGCATGCGGAGCGGGCTGCATGAGGCGGGACCGCCCCATCCACACGGCTAGAACAGCGGCGGGGAGCCTCCAGGTTTGCAAGAGGGAGTCAGCCTCTTCACCTGCCCTCAGTGCTGCATACTTTCAAGACAGAGGGCTCCAGACCACCGGAGAAAGCCAGCCCTGAGCATTCTGCCAACAGTCAACACCCCTGCCTCTGCCCGGGCCCGGAGTGTGGCTGGAGGACATCTGGGGAGCGCATTCCACACACATGGGCGGCTCTCCTCTCCCCACAGGCATTCCATCCTCTGAGCCTGCGGGACTCTAACCTGGACCAAAACCGGGAGGAGAAAATGCCTAAGGAAAATCCTCTGATGAGAAGGTAATTTTAGAGATCTGCTCTCAACTTCCTGTGGGGAAGTGCCCTGAGGAAACTTAAATTACAGTGAAGCGAGACAGCACATTAAGTTCTTTAGTCATAAATGAGAGCTACAAATCTATGCAGCGTTCCCTTTTTGCCCTGGCTTTGAGGACATACAAGTACAGCAGTTGTGTTTTTCTTGGCTATTGACATCTCTGTACACTCCTTTTTCTTGGACGGGACTTTGTTTCTATTTATCTGCTCTTGTTTCATTGTAATTTAAGTTGCATCAATAGATATTAAAAAAACAGAAAATTAAACACCGAATAATAAATGGAAGTGAAGTGTCTCTCTCCGCTCAACCGCGTGGAACCTTCTCGGGGGAAAAGGGCAGTCACTGAGCCTCCTGGAGACAGTGGCCACCAGGTGGCACCAAAACCTTCCCACAGCTGTCTGTGGTGGGCGGTTTGGCTTGAGTTTGTGAGTAGCCAGCCAAGTCCTGGACTATTCTACACACAGTCCAAAGTACTCTGGGCTTAGTTGTAGGGACAGCAGAGCTGACCCCAGGGAGTCATGTGGCTGTAGGGTGTTCAGACACTCGCTTTATAAGATGACTATCACAAATGTTTCCACTGGGCCAGGATCCCTCCCACTGGAGCAGGGCCATTGCAGGGCTATGGAACAGCTTCATTTTTCTATGGTATCCCAGGCACCTGGAGGTGACGGTTTCATCCCACATGGGGAGTTCTTCAAGGCTGCCACGAAGCATGGGGGGAGCTTTTTCAAATGTTCTAGTGCCTCTGCCTGCGCTGAACACTGTATTTTGTCCCCAGTACTGCCACATTACTGGACAATCATTATTGCATAGAAACTGGATGTTAAAGCAACCGTGTATGCCAACACTGTCATTCATGATTGCTTCCATTATCCAACAGAGAAATTATGTCATTTAAAGCCACTTTGTCACTATACCTCTATGCTCAAAATAGAAAAAGCTCTGGGAAAAGTTGCAAGAATGTACTTATGCATCATCTTTACTTTCAGATTCCTCACCTCTCCTGAATTCATTTGTGTTATTAATTCACTTTTCATGCCGCCTTCTCTGTACTCTCACAGATCTCTGCAGTGTCTGATCAATTGCATTTCCAGAGGATTAAGGAAAGTGCCATCTGACAGATGAGGAAGGTATAGATGTCCAGGCCAGGCCCAGGCAGCCACGTGGCCTGGAGTGGAGAAGAAGAAGGCCACTGGTCAGACTTTCCGGTTGCTGTCCTGAAATTCAGACCTGGGTGTCACTGGCCAGAACTGGTCACACCATTCTCAGAGTGTGGGAGGGAGGAGCTCTCCATGGTCGGTATCATAGTCTCCTTTTCTCCTTCCCTCCTTCCTTTCATCCCTCCCTCTCTCTCCCTTCTGTGCTGGGGATTGAATCCAGGGCCTCATGTGTACCAGACAAGTATTCTACCACTGAGCTACACCCTCCAGGCCTCGCTCCTTGATCTTATTTGTCCTAAAACTCTTTTCAGGAATTCTGAGTCTACCCAGGTGTGCCTTAGCTGATGGCTTGGAGTATTTGTTCATTTACAGAAAGTTAAGGAATGGAAAGATACCTGCACTCCTCCTATTTCCTTGGGCGTGAAAACATATGCCCTCAAGGGTCTTATAATGAAAGCAAATATCTGGCCCAGTGCTCCACTTTGATTTCCCCCTGGCCTTCAGGCCGTGGGGCTCAAGGATCCCCAGCACTAAAACCCAATTTGCTCTGCAACAGCAAGCAGAAACACTGAAATAACATCTAGGATTTGGAGGCAGATTTATTTATGTTGAAGGGCACTGATCAGGATCATTCCCAGAATATAAGGCCCCAATCTCTGGTGGTCTAGCGCTTTTATATGATGCACAAGCAGGAGGTACAAAAGCAATACAGAACAGCTTGGCAGTTCTTCTGATTAGATAGCAGGGTGACATCATTTACAAGGGTAGATTAATGATCATTAGTTTAGGAAGCTTGGTACAGTGGTACAACCAAGCAACCTGCATGTTTGGTTATGCTCTTGTGGTCACAGCGGTGAAGAAAGTAATTACAAAGCCATGAAGCAGTTACAGAGTTAGGCAGTTTCAAAAGAACAAAGTTTTTAAAAGAACAATTTCTCTTATACAGTTTTCCCCTGCCAGTTCTACTACATGTCATCCCTCCTACTGTCACAAATGGACCACAGCCTGCCCCTATGGTCTCTCTGTTCATTTTAAACAATTTGGGTGACCCCAAATGACTTTTATAGTGACCCAGCAGATGTTTCTATCTGCTCTTTAAAGCAGACCTCTTTAAAGGTGGTGCTTAGTATAGTATAGGCCAAGGCAGCACCCTCTGCAAGAACTTGGAAAAGAGGCAAATAAGGGGTTGGGTGTGAACTTGACCAGAACACTTACTAACCGAGCCCTCCAGGCAATGCTGGGGGTGGGGGATGCAAGGTCAAGAGATTAGGTTCCATTAAGTGACATAATTGAGACTTCCTATATCATAGAATCCAACCATGAGAGGAATAACTTAGGCAATGGCTGCAGAGTTTTTGAATTGAAAAACCTAATGAACACCTAGAGCATCCCAGCATCTATTACATACTCCAAGGCTAGCGGGTGTCAAGAGCCCTCCTGCATAGGGAACATGCTAGCAGTGCAGTCAGAGATGGAAGCCCCAAGACCTTGTGAAATGTGTGCTTGCAGCTCCTTCTCCATAGTGTCACTACTGTCTCCAGACTACGGCACAAGGCTGCCTGCATGTGCTCTCCAGACGCCTTCTCTTTCCTTCTTCCCTTTTATTATTAATGGGGGTATTTATCATCCCTTCTTTCAAGCGGTATCTTTGAAGATCTTTGGGGTCGCTCAGCTAGGTAGACCAGACTGTGAGGAAGCTAGGGCTGGGCAGCACGAGGCTGGACTCTGACACAATCCTAGAGGAGCACTGCGTATACCAAAAGGGGGTATCCAGGGAGCATGCAAGCGGGAGTTGTCACTTGGCAGGTCGTCTGCCCATTTTGGCCTAACTGGCTTTTTGTTGTGTGTGTGGTACTAGGGATTGAGCCCAGAGCCTTTGCACTGGGCTACATCCCTACCCCCTTTTGTTTTTGGAACAGGGTCTCACTAAGTTGCCGAGTAGGACATGAACTTGTTATCCTGCTGCCTCAGGCCCCCCAGTGCTGGGGTTATAGGTAGGTGTGCCTGGCTGCCTCTTTAACATTTGCTGCTTATGTGCTTGCTCCCCTACTTGCTGGGGGCTATGTCATCATCGAGAAGTTATTTGTTTCTCTCTTCCAGTGTGAGCATATTGCTTTTCAGCATCAGCTATTGACACTGAGTCACATTTCCAGTCAGGAGGGGGAGTGCTAGTGACTTTCTAAGAATCAGCTCTTCAGAAAGAGGACCTGTACCATTCTGAGCCCTGTGGTTCTGTATTCATTGGTTTCACCATAGTGGCCCATTTTCTTGGTGTTACACACACGTAGCAGTGGATGTAGACTTAGATTTTTGTTGTTGACTGTGGCTGGACTCGAGTTAACTTCAGGCAGTAGTCTAGCTCACTACTGACCCACTACCTCCCTTGGGCCAAATCTGTCCCCTCCCACCTGTTGTTGTGAATAAAGTTTTATTGCAACTCAGTCATGCTCATTCCTTTACATTTTATTGTTTGTGCTATAATAGCAGCAGTTGCAACAGAGACTGACAAAGTTTAAAACATGATTGACAACGTTTAAGATATTATATAGCCCTTTCCAGGAAAAGTTTTTTACTCCAAGACCAGAACTAGAAAAGGCCATATTTTCATTTATTTCCACTGGAGCAGAATATTACAATTCCAAGTCTTGGGAAGTCCAGGATGTGGGATGGAGGATCTAAGGCTCTCATTACAAAGATGGCAGACCTGAGGCTGTAGGGATGCCCTGGCAGGAAGGACTCTGGGGCTGTGTCTGAGCTGGTGTGGGCCCTTCCAGAGAAATGAAAATTGGGCCATGAGCAATTTAGTCAAGGAGCACCGGGCTGGGAAATGAACAATGCAGATCCATGTTCTTCCCCAAAGACAAACGGCATCCAGGGACAGCCTGGCGGTGGCCCTGAGGCTAGCACTTCATATGGCTGAGGATGGAGTTGTAAACATGCCCTTACCAGGGGATTTCAATGCCATTCACGTGTGACAGAAGCAGACAACGGACAGGGAGAGCCAAGGTCAGGCTAAAGCACGAGCTTTACTTAAGGCTCCTGTGCACTTGTGCCAGGCTAGCAGTGCACCAGTGTGCATTCAGGAGAGCATTTTGTGTGGTTTCCCATTTTGGGGAAAGGAGACATTTGTTCATTTGTGCAATCAAAATGCCAGCTAAAATGTTCCAAGTCATTTCAAAAGGAAAGCCACAGGATGTATGGCTGTGCACGTTTACTGGGAGAAAGCAGTATGAAATGTGATCCTTATTATTTATATACAGAGATCTATGTAGCCCTTAGATTGTGCTTTTCAAAGATAAAGAATTATAAGCCTGTCTACCCACGATGCCTAATAACGTATTCTGTAACTCCACGGAATGAATCCTCCTCAGTGACCCAAGTCAGTCCAGAGAGTGGAGTTGTCTTCTGTAGCTCTTCATTGATTATAGGGATGTGTTGTTGAAAGGTGTATACAAATTTAGATTTTGGAACTCAGCATATTTTATATGTACCAGAAATCTGTTACTCATGCTGAATCTTTACAAAGATTTTGCATAAATCCACTTTTGCGTAAATTTAGATTTTCAGATGTTGATGGACTCAGTAAGGTGCTCTGAAGTCTGATGTATTCTGACAGCTGTCTTAGCACCTGGCTTTTCCACTGTAAGCATGACTTGAAAATCCCTTGGGTCACTGTCCCCTGGTAATGTAACTATACGAGTACCTAGAGAACCAGGCAGGGACTAATTCTGTTCTTGTGCACTACTCTCTCATGCAAGTTACTTAGTATCTTTCCCACATTTTGGCTTTAACTATTTTTCTTTCACAGCATGAAAAATTGCCAGATCAGCTCTAGCTGTCTAGGTTTTCTTTTCATTTCAAATAATTATAGGACACATTTAAATTGTGTAAGGGCACTAGACCATGTTTCAAGATGAGTATTCAAAAATATATTTTCTGACTTAAATTTGTGGGGATTTATTTGCATAAAAATGTCAGTATTTTCATGGACTCTCTAGAAATGTACTACCTTTCAGCTAAGAGCAGTAGCATGGCCAGTGTGCAAATCATTCCCCTGAAATGGATGATGAAGTTCCACACAGTCCCCGAGTTGAAGGCTAAGTACAGTACACTGGTGTGTTCAGAGGGCACAGGGGCGGCGGGACCTGAGTCTGAATGTGCTCATGAAACAAGAAATGCTCAGATGTAGAACTCCTCCACGTCATTATCCCCACGATCAGCCATTGCCGTGGGTGGTGGCACATCTTGACCAGTCAGTGTGGCTTTGGGAGCATCACTAGGGACTTCGGGGGATGACTCTGTGAGAGAGGAGGCCTTGGAGGTCAGGGGAGCAGGAGCAGAGACAGCTGTCACGAAGGAGCTGGAAGACCTTTTGGGTACAAAAGGTAGAGAAACCCAGGAAGCCTCTGTGGTTATGCCGCTGCCAGTGGGCAGTGGCCCTTCTCTGGGACCCTTGTGTGATGCCCAGTGGCCGATGTATCCTTCAGGGGAGTGGGCCTTCTCCGCTGTGCCACAGAACCGACTGGGTGCAGAATATGCAGAGACCACAGATAGGTCCGAGGAGGACAGCCGCAAGCCTGTGTCCACGTCTGTCTCCTGGGCCCCTTCTAAGTCGTCAATGGAGAGGAGCTGGCCATGCCTATGTTCGGACACCCTTTGGCCTGTGGGACCTGTGTTTGAAGACCACTGTGGTTCAGTGCAGGAGGCTGGAGTGGGGCCCACTGTGGGCAAACAAAATAAGGACTTGCTTCTCGGGAAAGACCAGGGAGGGCTTGGGGTGCTTCTGGCTTGTCTGGCACATTCCTGCTGGTGTCCGGCGGGCGAGTCCAGCTGGCTGGGGCCCAGGAAAGGGCTGTCACACAGCATTGGCTGGCTGCTGCCCGGTGTGTGGCTCGGCGCGGTGGCACTCGTTGAAAGGGTAGAATGAGGCTGCTTCTCAGAGGAGTGGTGTGCCCTGCTGGGCTTGGTAAACTTTTTGTGCACCTTCTGTGCCTGCAGGGAGAGAGAACATAGGTTGTTAGTCAGGACGGGGCTTCACTGGTACATGCAGCATGGAACACACTGTTCATCGTTGGAAACGTCTAGCGAGGTCTCAGAAGTAAAGCAATATCAGAAATTTTGCTCATCAAACTTGAGGGCAAAAACAGCAGTAGCAGACACTGGAGCAGCCTGGGGGCAGAGCCGTCTATCTGAGGAGCCACCTCAGACCTCATCTTGGAGGAGACAGGACTAGCTCCTTATCACGCCAGGGAATAATACTGCTAAAAGTACAGCAGAAATTAACAAAAAGAATAAGGGCCTGGCTGAGCACGCTAACGGAGATAAAACTCACCATGAATCGCAAAAAGAACTGTGGGTTTAGGCTTCCCTCCAAACAAAGCATCGGCACGGGCTCCCCCTGTAGACACTGTTTGGAAGTGCTGGGAGGAGGACGCAAGGGGTCAGGACGGCCTTGCACATGCAATTGCAGATCTTGCTGACATGGGACTGCATTCCAGTACCTGTGTGACCCCAAGGACACAATGCTGGGGGTGGCCCATGGTTCTGGCAGAAACCTTCCACAAGTGAGGGGTTCTTAGGGGATTAACACTCTCTTCTGTCTTTCAGGAATTAGGTATAGCAAAGGGATTACTGACTAAAGAGGAATCCTGAGGGTCTTCAGTAGGGTGAACAGCTTCACCCTGTGACGTCTCACCCTGTCCTCCAATTGCACACCCCAGGCCTCCCCAGCCAGCACAGGTCCTCTCCAGGAACCTGCTTCTGCTGCACAGGACCGAGCACTTCTCTTCCAAAGCACATTTCCACCTGCTCTGCTGCTCTCAATTCTCTCTACAGAACAATACTACAAGCCAAGCTTTTCATTTAAATAATGGGTTTGAGGACAATGGATCTGGCTTTATGTAGGAGAGGGCCATGTGACTCATGAATCTCTGAAATGACAATAGCGTTCTGACGGGTTTACTAGAAGGGACATTTCCTTCCAGGAAACATGCAGCAGGCTGAGACACTGCTTTCATAGCAAACACTCCTCCTTGTTAATGTGGAATCTGGTTTTCCCATGGCCACGTGTTTATCAAAGATTTATTATGGGTAAAGGAGCAGAAAGTACAATGAGATTCTGCTTTTGACCAAATGGAATTTAAACTTCATCGAAAGGACCAAAAAATACTAAGACCAGAAAGCGTGATGATAGGCACCATGCGGGGCACTAAGGAAGAGATCCCACCTCCAGAAGGGCAGAGTGTTCAGGGCAGAGGGCCCTACAGTAGGTGAGCCTTTGAGGAGGGGCACTTGTGCTCCTGGGGGGTGGCAGGAGTGAGGGTGTGTTCTGGGAACAAGGGGCCGTGAGACTGCCAGGGCAGCAGCAGTTTGGCCTTGTTGGAATCTATGTGCCCAAAAAACGCTGATGGAGGGTCAAGTCGGAATGAAGTCTAGGACCATGCTGGTTAAGCAGGCCTTTACCTGGGTCAGAAGTCCGCCAACTTAGCCTCTACTGTGTCATATTCAGTCTTATTTGTTCTCTGTAACTATTCATTTCATTGATTTCTAAGATCCTTATTTGCCTAGTTTCAGCAATCTCTTAATACTAGAGACAAACTAACTGACTCATACTTTCCACCAACATATCTGAGGGTGTGTTCAGGCTTTGCATGGGTGATTAAGGATGAGACAAGATACTGATCTCCCCCACAAGTAGTCTTGTGTCCCATATATATGTCACCATGAGCATTTTCTATGTGTTATTCCATGTAGAAAAGGTCCAGAGAATTGGACACAGTTAATGTTTATGAGACATGATCTTAGGTCACAAGAATGAACAGCACAGCATTCAAATATAAAGAAGCCACAGTTCAAGTCTGTCTAGGGCAGGTTGGGGCACAGAGGAAGGGTGGTCAATTTGATGGAGGAGGAGGCAGTATGGGGAAGAAATGCTTATCTCAGAAATCACGCTGGACAAAATCATGGAAGCTCACAAGGTGTGGACTGGCTGGAGGGCAGTGTGTGAGTACAGAAAGGGTGTTTTTATGGCTTGGATAAAAACTGTTCCTCAAAGGCCAGCTGTTGGGATTTGAGGAAGTGTTAGAATCACAAGAATGCTAAGTTCAGCAGTGGATTAATCCATTCATTAGTTCACAGCCCAGTGGACTACTAGGAGGTGGGGTGTAGAAGTGGGTCATGGAGGTGTGACTTGGGGACCATATCTTGTCCCCGCAGCTCCCTCCCTTCCTGTCTTTTCTGAGGTGAGCAGTTCTTCTCTGGTACACTCTTCTGCCTTGGTGTGCTGCCTCACCCAGGCCCAGAACAATCAAGCCAGCCAGCCATGGACTGAAATTCTGAAATCACAGCCCAAATCAACCTTCCCTCTCTTACGTTGCTTTTCTCAGGTATTTTGTCATAGTGATGAAAAGCTAACTAATACAGGTGTTCAAGCATAGAAGCAGCCTGAACAGAGGCTGGGACCATGAACCAGACTAAGAGGGGAGCCTGAAAAAGTATGAGAAGTCAGGTCATGGTGGGCTCTGAATCACAAGCAAATATAAGATGCTGCACTTCAAAACCTGAAGGCTGTACAGCAAGATGGCAGCACCCATCTGACTGAGGAATGGGTTGGGTGGAGGCAGGAGACCATCTAGAAGACACCACAGTAACCTTCCATTTCTTAAGAAGTGGGATAAATGAGGCACATATGCAGCTGCTCATGTAATAGTCTTCTTAATCATGGGTTCAGATGTTGAGGATTTTCTAGGGCTTTCTTGGTTGGTTTTAAGGAATTTCCCAAAAATATGTGAAAGTCTGAATTATGGGTCCTTAAAGAACATGACGCAAAATGGCGTTGGTACTAGTGTTAACTTGCCCAGGTGTGGATCTTCTAAAGCTCACGTGACAAAGGCCACTGTCACCATGCAACTTCAGTCTGAGCAGCTCCAGACTACATGGGTATTGCAGCCTTGCTAGATAAGGGGTGGGAAGATTCTGGGCAGAGATGGCTCTTCCTGGTGTATGACCTGCACATCAAGGTCTGCTGCTATGTGTTCCACTGTCCCTTGGACTCCCATCCCATCCCTGCGACTGTCCTGTCCTGCTCTGATTAATGCTCTGTAATGCTCTACAGGGCTCTGTACTCTGATGAGAGGGATCTTTCTTGGCACATGTGTTCCCCACTGCTGGTCCATAAGCATGGACGCAGAATCACCCTTGTGATTGCCTCAGAAGGCTGAGGTGTGCTGGGAGGTGTCGCAGTAGCGTGGCTGTTGGAGAAACAAACCAATTTTCTCCATCATTTGAGCTTGGCTGCATAAGACAGAAAAGGAGGCATGGGCATGCAGCTGTGGGGAGAAGGATGCATTTGGAAGTTGCTTCTGGGATAGGGAGAAAGCCCTGTTTACTATTTACTTTTTCCAGAGGCCAATTTCCCTGGGTTCTCTAGTGTCATTTTCTTACTGATAAGTACTGTACGTGCTACTTTGTCTGTCTTATTGGAGGACCTGCTCTTGGTGAGTTGGTAGTCTATATCCGCATCAAAAATGGAAGCCTTTGTAGGTGTTGGTTCAAGAAATGCAAAAGGTTTAAGGAACGCTAGGGATCATCTAAATTTTTTCACTAACAGGGAACAGGGTAGTGTTAAGTTTGGTTTAAAACTAGGCCCAACTGGCAAAAGATGAATACCTCCTGTTTTAACAGAGATTTAAATGACTGTGATCATTTCACAGAAACATACTTAATGCTGTCTAATTTTTACTACATGATGAAGGCAGGAGTCCAGAGCAACTCTTTATTCTGTTGCTTTGATGAGAGGTGGCACCTGGTCTTTTTCACTGAGGGGTGCTCACGTACCAATGGAGGTGCCTGCTGGGTGGGCGGAACTGGGGTTGGCCCTGTGTTGTGAATAACTGTAGGCAACCTGGGGTGGGAGCTGGAGGGAGGGAGGTTGCAGGGCCTCCTTTCCCCACCCCATGCCTGCCTAGGGCTGATGTGTATGCAGGACCTGCCTGGAGCAGATCTGGTGTGTTCTCTGGCTTTGCCCAGTGGTAAAAGAATCAGTAGCTTCTAGAAGCAGAGGCTTATCTAACCTAAGGAGCACTTGTGTGTACAAAGGATGGAGCTTCTTTATATGCCATTCCCCTGCTGTGGTTCTATTTCCTGCCTCTTTTGTCTGCTTGGTCAGGAACGCTAGAGGCTGCGAATGAGTCATGGCAGATATGTCCAGAGATTCTCCCCCAGTGGGCCCTCCCACGGTGAGACAAGAGGCTTTGCCTTTCTTGCATGTATTTCAGCCCTTTGGGCTCCCCCCCTGAGGGATGGCAGGCAGCATAAGGCAGTGGGATCAGCTTCCTTTCTTCTCTGTGAAGAACTGGAGGCTAGATGCCTCCCTGGAATCCAGAAGTTCCCTTTGTTGCTATTTAAGGAACTTTCTGGAAGGAACAGAATAGCGCCACATAAATCAATGTGCTTAGGGCAACCAGCCAGGGAGTTCTGGTTATGTCCAAGCCACTAGAAAATTGGAATTCATAAATGGCTCACTCAACCAAAGCATCTTTCTCAAGGGTCTGAGAGTGAAGAGCCTCATTCTCTGGCATATGGGTGGAATCTTTACTTCTTAAATTGCTGGTAAAGGGGGTTCTGCCCCTCCTCCAGCAACCTGGCAGTGTCTTGTTTGGGATCAGAAACTTCTCCCTCAGCTTTACCCCTCTTCTGAGTAAAGTTATGTTCTCTGTTCGATCCTTGGCAGAAACATGACCAGTGTGGCACTGCCCGCTCTCTAATGAACCAGTGATGGATTTTTAAACTCAGGGACTAATACATATTAGCCTCAAAACAATAAGACAATGGGGTCACATAAGGAATCAGAATTGTGCTTTAAAGAAAAACATATGTTGCCTCTTCTACCACTCTGCTCATGGTGGTTTCATATGCTTGTTAAAGAAGCTGCCCACGGACAAAGCCTATGTTGAATGGTCAGAACAGAGGAGGATTCCAAAAGAAAAGGCAAG